CTGCTCCTAGCTGGGCTGGCTGCTGGTTTAATGCTTAGAGACTCAGCCACCACCAGTGTGGGTGGGAGGTGACCATGGCTGTGACAAGTCCCTTCTGAGTGGGGTGGGTAACGGTGTTTTGAAGTGCTGCCACCTTCCTCTGGAGCACCACATACCCAGAACTGCAAAACGATGGTGGGAGCCCTTCAGCTGTCCTAGCTGGGCTGGGAGTCCCCTCCCAAGCTCTGCACCCCCCCAACCAGTTCAGACCCGGGGCAGGCAGCAGCCAGCAAGCCTCTTTGAGGCAGTCGCAGCACTGGGATCAGCCTGAGCAAGCAAAGCCCCAAACTCTGTCCCATCCTGTCACTGTCTTGTCTCTGTGAGTCCCAGCCCTGTCCCCAGAGGTAGGTTCCCCTGTCCCTGTGCTGACATGGAGCTGTGCCCTCCCCTTCCCCCTGTTTGCATGCTGCACCTGCTCCCCCTGCCAGCACCCCCCTCTCCATGCACTCCACCTTCCCTCCTTTGGCCTGGGAAGCCCAGCACCTTGCATATTCCTGCCCATCCTTGCCTTCTCCCCGAGCAGCCAAGCATCCCCCTGGATGACCTTGGTTTCCCAGCAAAGGGCAAGAGATGCCACCCAGCCCATTTGGTGCAGGCTTGTGCCAGTGGGTGTTTGGGCTTGGGTTTCTCGGGAGGCCAGTGCTGCCCTGTCCTGGGCCAGTAGTACTGGGTGCCCCCATGCCCTCTCTCTTTCTGAAGAGGGTCTCTCTCATTGCTTTACAGAGGGCGTGACATCAAACACCAGTGACAGCGAGAGCAGTTCCAGTAAGTGTTCATCTCGTCTGCTCTCCCACCCCTGTATACGTGTGTGTGTGTGTGTGTGTGTGTATGTGTGTGCACCTTCTGACACCTCCATCTTGTCTTGTCCCTTTGGTGGTTCTGTTTGGAGGCTGGTCCTTCCTGCTAGTGACACGGAGATGCTGTGGCCTGCTCCCTCCTTGGGGCAGGGAAGGCAGGGGCTGGGGTGCAGGAGCGAGCCTGCCTGCTTCCCTGCTCTCTCCTGGCTGCAGGGCTCTGCTTTGAGTCTGGGTGGTGTGTTCCCAGTCCATCGTAGTCCCCCATCCTCAGTGCCTGCTGTGGCAAGCAATGGCCAGAAGCTTGGTCTGCAGCATAGGTGGCTCCTGGAGCCTAAGCCTGTGGGGGTCCAGCTGCAGTGAATGCTGCTTTTATCCCCAGTGAGTTCTCTAAAGGGCTGCAGCAGTGGGGAGGGAAAAAGGAGGCTTGACTCAGAGCTGGGACATAATAATTAACGTGGCTTGAGGGCTGGTACCTGAGTGCCCGTCACACTCCATGTCGGCTGGCAGTGTGACAGGGGCAGCCTGGAGGTGTCCCCAGGGCTGTGGGAGGCTGGGAGGGGGCAGGAGCCAGCTCCTTGTGGGTGCAGAGGAGCTGGAAGGCCGCTGGGAGTCCTTACCTGCCTCTCCCTGGTTCTTTTGTAGAAGGACAAGAGGACACCATCCTGTCATACGAGCCAGTGACGCGGCATGAAAGTAAGTCCTAGTGCTGAGCTGCACAGTCTGCTCCAGAGTGGGCACCCGTGTCCCTGGCACAGCCAGGGTGGCTGGTGCAACCTCCCCTGCCATACCAGCATGATGCCTGTGAACACAAGGGGAGTTTCTTGTCTTGTTGTGTGCAGCAGGGGTGGCAGGTGTGCTTGCTGTTTCCTGGAGCTTTCCCTGACCTTGATCAGACCGTTTTAATCAACAGAAGACTTGTGACCTGGTCTGCAAGACAAAGGGAGAGATACTGGGCTAAAATTCAGCTGGGCTGTAGTTCCCAGCTGAAGGTGGGATTATACCTCCCTGCCTTGGGCCAGGTCCCTGCTGCAGAGCAGCCTCTCCCCATTGACGCTCAATCTCTACAGACCCTGACTAGTCCCAGCCTCAGTGGTCTTTCCTTGCCAAAGCTGTATCAGACCTTCAGGCTTCCCTCACTCCCCCAGCTCCGTGGCATCTTTGCCTGGCTCCAGCCCTGGGTGAGGGAGCAGCTTTGCTGATGTGACCCCAAAGACCCACAGCACCTTCCCCAGGGCTGTGCCGATGGGAGGGAGGTGTTGACTGTGAGATGCATGGAGGAGACACCTTTGGGTGCCCATAAGAGCAGGAGCCCCGCTGCCAGCAGGGAGAGTGCAGGTTGTTGCCACAGGTGGCAGTGGGGTCAGCTGCCTGTGGTGCAGACGGGGCCTCAGGCTGTGGCTCTTGTTCTCAGTTCACTACGCGAGGCCGGTGATCATCCTGGGGCCGACCAAGGACCGGATTAACGACGATCTCATCTCTGAATTCCCACACAAGTTTGGTTCCTGTGTGCCACGTAAGTCCCAGCTGGCACTTGGTGCCCTTCCTTCGGGGAGGGGAGAGCAGTGGCTCTGCTCCTTGCAGGGTCTAGCCTGCAGCATGGGGGGGTGGCAGCACAGGGCAGGGGGTTTGTCCCTCCCAGGAGGTTTGCTGTGCGTCACCCCGGGTTTGCTCACGGTGCCTGCTCTCCTCCAGACACCACCAGGCCTCGGCGTGACAACGAGGTGGATGGACAGGACTATCACTTTGTCGTATCCCGTGAACAGATGGAGAAAGACATCCAGGACAACAAGTTCATAGAGGCTGGGCAGTTCAATGACAATCTCTATGGGACCAGCATTCAGTCAGTGCGGGCAGTAGCAGAGAGGCTGAGTGTCTGGTGGCATTCCT